CATCACTAAAACTAGTACTGAATGTAGACACTCATTTGAGCATGTACTGATACTAGAAAAAAAAGTCATATTTAGGACAGAAATTAACCTGAATTGCTTTAGAATTATCTTGAGTTGTACCAAAACTATCAGAAGTCTACAGAGACTAGTATACACCCATGAACCACGATGGAACCTTCCTGGATGATTGAAGGATTACACAGATATATAATCCACATGGTAATATAAAAGAAAATACTGCCACCAACATTGCGCAATAGGGGTGTAACGATATCCAAGTCCCACGATACGAAACCTCTAGGTACGATATTTATTGCGATATCGTTGGAAAGCTCACGATATGGTGAGGAGGCTCATGATTAGGGATGTAACAATATCCAAATCTCTCGGTACAATATTTTCATGATATACATCACGGTACGATATTTATTTATATTTTGTGGAGTGAACAAAACTGTGCATATGCTACTTTTTCCTCTTAAAATGCCTTGACAAGACTTAATCCAAAAAACTAAGACTTAAAAGTGCTTAGAACTGTTATTTCTTCATGTAGTCTGCACTGAAATGGAGCAAAGGATCATGTTCTATGTAGTTGCCTCTGTCTTTTTTTAGCTATTGCTGCACCATAACTCTTAATTTAAGCCAAGAGACTTGTAATTCGATCTATTGTGATGGCCCACGATATTATTGTGAGAACTTTGACAATACGATAGTCAAAAATAGAGAATACATTAAAAACACAAGCTAATTACAATTCATTAGTCCATAATAAAGTGCAGTATGCAGATCACCAATTACTGCCCATTCAGTTGCCTAATAGACACAGGCACAATGAGTTCTTTGGTAAAAAAAAAAAAAAACAGTTCTGTGATTAAAAAAATTACACCTTTTCCCACCCACACCTCCCATTGATCAACCTCAGTCATACTGAGTGAGTGACAGGTGGCCAATTGCTATGAAGTGTGAACTATCTACAGAAGCAGATGAATTCAGTTACCTTTTTAAAGCAATATAAAAGATATCACTGTACTTCAATTGTGACGTGTGATCAAGAACATTGTGATTTTTCTTTTTTTTTTGACATATCACCCATCCCTAATTGTTGTGTGGTTTAGCGAAGGTGAATTTTAACATGTTGCTGAATTTCTAAAACTCAAAGCTCGCTGTAGAAAGTAATTAGTTCAAACTCCATCTTCAAATTTGAAAACCTTTTGTGAACTACTCCTCTTTAATGTTTTTTTGTCTTTTCAGGATGCTCTCAAAACAGGCAAACCACACAGTGCCAAAACGCATTTCACGCTTTCAGCTCCACATTTGGCACTGAAGGTTTTGAGGCACTCAGGTGGAGGGGCAGGCTGCCTGGCATTGCTGCAGCATACAGGGAGATGACTGCGCACACTGTGGTATTACATTTGGACAAATTATTGAAACACAAAGAGCAAGGTGAGGGCTTGTCAGAAGGTGGTGTTTATACACAAATGCCTTTGGCTGTTTTCTTCTCATGTTGTCAGAGCGATTCAGCTGGCTCCATTAAAATGTTTTAATGTAAAAGCCGCAATCCACATACTGTACATATGTTTAAGGTGAGACATTTTTTCCATGTGGCTGAATAATTTAACTTAAAGGTCACATATTACACTATTTTCTGATCTATGTTATAATGTTATTTCCTCATCACAAGCTTACCAGTTGTGTTTTCTTTCATTCACACATATTTAACACACAAAACCTGTATGTTTCTTTGGAGATTTTCTCTTAAATTGAAAACACACTGTTCCACCTTGTGATATCATGTGGTAATACACAAAATGCTCCACTCCATACACCTTCACTACAATGATTTGGATGAATTTAGCTCCAGAATGATCAATCTCTGCTAAATAAAAGCCTGAGTCATGGTGCTGTCTATCCGGCTCGGGGCTCTGTCTACCCGGCTTGGGGCGCTTGCTCTGCCCGTAACTCCCGGATTTGAAGTTAAGCTAAGAATAAACATCTGGCAGTGTTTGGAGAATATAAGTTCCAGGTCCTGTTTTTTACACACACACAGAGAGTAACTGTAGGAGAGTGTGCATGACAGAAGTACAGCTATTTGGTCTTCCTCCAGGTTCCACCAGTATATTCACTGCCTGGTTATATTTCATGTCCTATTGTCCTGGTGGTTTTTAGAATTTGATAATGGCATACTCTCGGGTGGGGGTAAGAGCCAAATTTTCCCTATTGTAATGTAATCTGGCCTGAAATATCTAAAAAGTAAGTTCACAAATGTTGAACACAATCATTTCTATAAGTGAACAGAACCTAGATCTGCGGTCTCCAACCTTTTTTCTGCAGTGAGCTACTTTTGCGAAACAAAAATGCCACAGAGCTACCAATTTCAGCAGTCGCAAAGAAACAGAGTAAACATAAGAGCCACGGTGAGCCTTAGATGGTGTACAATTAGATGCCTATAAAACATAACTCAGTGTCCATTATCGGTGCACCAAGTTGGGCATCAAAATTATACTTTTACAATGGTAATTAATCAAATTGTATTTATTATCCATAATGCATGGAATTCAGAAATACCGTGGCAAGCTACTTAGAAGGGGATGGAGAGCTACTGGTAGCTCCAGAGCTACAGGTTGGAGACCCCTGACCTAGAACTTGCTCGCCTGGGACCCAAGATACACACTTCTTCAATACTTTACAACGATTGAGTCTAGTCAGTCTGGTGAGTCTCCTTGTTTTCAAATAGGTGTGATTGATAAGTGGATTAGCCAATCAGGGACATGCATGGTTTGAGCATACTGGAAAAAATAAAGGAAAAATATATCACAGGGGACTGAACAACATCACGGATTGCTGCAGAATCAATGTCTGTTAATCTGAGGGGAGAGAAACAAGTCTGATTGCACAATCACCTTTGACCAGGCTTGAGATTTGGCAAAGGGAGTGGAGATGAGACTGGTATTGATCTGTATAAAAATGTATGAGATAAATCATTCTGGATTTCCAGGCAAAGAACTTGTTATATTACAACATAAATCTGAGTTTTAATAATATTAATTTTAGCTGGCGGCCCATCTGTGTTTAAAATATGATGGGTTATGAAATGTGGAATTTGTCAATACACCTCAAAGTGTTATATGGTGTAGTAAATTCATTCACTTCAATGAAAAAGTAAAGGTATGACGCTTCTTGTTACTGGATTCTGAACACAAAGTTTAAGGTATTCAAATGTAGCACAGTATAAACTAATTGAGCCTGACGCAAATAGTGCAGCTTTCAAACTATCAAGCTTAGTTGAATGAGGCCTTTTACATATGCCAATAAAGATACAACAGCTACAAATAAGATCATTAACTTGAATGTGTTTACTACTAGAAGGTAATTACTAAACACAAAATACACAAAAAGACCCCAAACTCATTCTAGATTGGACAACACAGATAGCACTACAAGCTTCAGTGTCTCACGAGTGTCTATAGCCTCTTCTTACAGAGTGCTAATGTGCACCACAGACAAGGGGTGGGCACTGGCCAACCTGAATTATTTATGATACAATGGATGATAAAGTGATGGAAAAAGAAATAATAGTGAAAAACAAAAACAAAAGAAAACAAAAAACAGATTGTAAACGAAAGGCGATGATAGGAGGAGGAATGAAGTTGTTCAGCTACCACATTGGAAACCTACGCCAAGGATTGGACCTCGAGGCTACGGGGATTGTGAGAGAAGATGGAATAAGGCGGAATGGGAAAGATTAATGTCAAAGAAAGAGCATTTTTCTCTGAGAGGCTGACACACCTAGCGTACAGTGAGAGAGCTAATGCTTCAGTGCATTCAATCAAACAAAAGGCACATTTCAGTCAAAAACTCTTTTTATGGTTTATCTATTTGGAATTAATGGAGCTATAGAAACGAAAACTTAGTCTGAATGTCAATGTCTTCCTTGTCAGTCAAAGGTTCACTATGTAACTTTTCTTACAGAGGGTTTGCCATCTCAAGACTTTTTTGGTGTGTCTAGGATGTTCCACAGCATGGCATTAAATTTATTTCTTGCATTTATTCAATTACAGGTGTTTGTATTGCTCATTTTTCAAATTAAACAGAAAACATACACCGAAGTTCTTGTAGAGGTGCAAATGCAAGGAACAGCAATTTAAAAGTGAAAAAAATGAAATGAAATTAAAATGAATTGGGGTTTTCTGTGGCAGCTCATTTTGTAGATTTTAGTAGATCTACAAAATGAGCTGCCACAGGATCTGAGTGTGCTCTGCATTTTTTCCATATTTGTATTGCTCATTCTTCACACGAATTGATCTGCAACTTGGCCTTATGTTTAATGTCACACTGCGGAACATTCAAAGCAATAACATCTCCATAGTAGCTCAGTTGGTGGAGTGTTTATCCACTCGTCGAATATTGCGGGCTCTCGACATAAACATCATTGTTTGAGCGATCAGATCCACTGACCCACAGGTTGTACTTCATCGCCCCCAGTGTGTGTGTACACTGGTGTATGAATGGGTGTGTAGATGGGTGAGTGGTTCCCTGATCTAAAGAGCTTAGAGTACCTTGAAGGTGAAAATATGCTATATAAAACGTGACAATTTACCTAATACCTTCTACCAGAAGAAGGTTTATACTGTAACTTGAACTAAGAATATTTCTTAATTAGTAGCATTGGAAACTTGTGATGTTTTTGTATCAACTAAGGATGTGGATGAAACTAAAGACAAAACATTATACATAAATACAGTACTGTGTCATATTTGTTTATTATACCATGCAGTCTTCTAATAAAACTCAAGATGAAACTGTTCAGGAAAGGTCAAATTTTATCCAGTTACGAGATTTTTTTTCAGTATCGATACTTACTTAAATCAGAATAAAAAAAATAGCTAGTTTCGATACTAGTGATGGATTACCAATTTTGTAATGTTACTTCACATGATATCTGATGGTACAACCTGTTCAGTCTAGAAAGATCCATGTATCGCTACAAAGGAGAGACTCACCCCTCTCCTCCAACTTTGGTGATCTTCAGCCTGAAGTCCACAGAGTTCAGATTTGGAGGTTTCCACTTGAGGATGTCATCGCAGCGGCCTGGTCTGTACCTCTGCGGGGACACAAAAATACAAGGTTAACAAAACAAGCCAGGTGTGTGACGTGTCTTGCCCAAGGACATAACAACAGTATAAAAGAACTTTATTCAGCCCACTTCATCAGGTTTGAAATTGGAAAGTTTTCTTATTACAACGTGCACTGCAGCAAGATTCATAATTCAAGTCCTTTAGGCAGCGCTATACATCCTGTGGAAACACAGCAAATGAGACTATTTTGTATACTGCCTGAAGTTTAGATGTCAGAATATGTAATTGGCCAATGCATGGCCTTTTAAAATACTTGCAGGCCATATTTGATTAGAAAACTTTTGGTAACATTCAAAAGTTTTAGTAATTAGGTTTAGATTTAAAATTTGAACTTTTGAAAATAATCAAAACAAGAATAATTCACATATTTTCAGAATAGCCTAAAATTGTTACCTACAACATAATACAATTCTTTTTAGTAGACTTTCTTGCTTGATCTCAAAAGGTAAATAATTGGTTCACCATGTTCCACCTTAGTTTGTCACGATCAAAAAAACAAGAAAATCAGTCCCAGAAAATGTGTTTGTCACAACAAAGGTTAATAATAATGGTTAAAGAGAGAGAGAGTATTATGCAAAATAGACTTTCTGGAGTTTTCGACCGTGTTATAACATTGTTCCCTCATCCAAAACATGCCTGAAGAGGTTTTTTATGTCATCCAGGCATGTTTGAGTAATCTAGCAATCTCTCTTGCAGGCCCTATTCGAACTCTCCTTATAGATAGCAGTGTGATCCTGTGCAAAACTCACAAGGATACAAAACTATACACTGCATCTTCACAAACCTGATGCAACGTGCAGTACTTTTATTAGTGATTGTAATGTGAAGGGGGGCGCAGGAAGCAACTGGAGGGATACTCAGTGCCAGAAACAAAACCGAAACTTATTTAACATGTTAATATTTTGTTTTAGTTGAATATAGCATTTTCAAAACAATAAAATGTAACATGATGATCTAAATATGTGATGTATTTAATGTCAGTTCAAAGTTTCCATATTAAAAGCAGTAATTGTGTACAGATTCTGAGGATATAATGTTGGCATTGTATTATGAAGCCATATTGCTGACTCATATCTGTTTGCATATTATCTTATGTAGGCCCACAATCCTTGGCAATGTTCCACTTGTATTCTAAGCAATCCGTTAATTACACTAGGTTTTTTTGGGGAAAGAAAAGATAAGCTCTTGATGTCTGTATTTATGTCTTTTACATCTTAATATTAGTGTCTGCACTTCACGTCCTCTTCGGCACACTGCTTAACGGCGTCTCAATTATACACAGCTTTTCAGTTCATTAGCTGTCACCGTTGCTTCAAAATTAAGCTCTTAAATTAGCCCATCATTACGGCTTGTTCACGCTGATGCACTTTCATTTACATTTTCAAACGGGCACTTGTGAATATCAACAACGTCCTTATATGCTTCCGAAAATATGTCAAAATCTATACATTATTATTATGTCACACAGTATTGCAAAAATATCAGTGCACAGTTGTTTATGATTGCGACAGCAAAAAAACACACAACCGCCTACCTGGGTTATTTATGCATATGACATTTACTTAGACATGGAGAGAAACACGAACAGTCTAAAGCTATGTGAGGATCTGGAGGGCTGGTGAAGAGGTAAGCCATCCCATACGTTCACTATAGGAGCGGTTTTTCGATCAATCACAAATATGGATTTTTATTTTTTTTTTTTTTTTACTAGTACCTAAAGGCCAATTAAATATGTTATGCAGTACTGTGTTATAACTCTCTATAGTTGCTTTGAATAAGTAAAATATGTGTAGTACTAGGGATGTAACAATAACAGAAATATCGTGATATCGGATCGTGGACCATCACAATATATAGAATTACAAGTCTTTTTGCTTAAATTAAGAGTTATAGTGCAGCAATAGCTTAAAAATGAAAGAGGGAACTACAAAGACCATGATCCTTTGCGCCATTTCAGTGTAGACTACAAGAAGAAATAACAGTTCTAAGCTTTTTTTAAGACTACGTTTACATTGAAACAAATCCGCGTATCAGAAACAATGTGCGTCCAGACATGTAATTTCTGTGTCCGCAAGCCCTCCCTATCCACACAGCTTTGAGCATATGTGTTTATGTTCTACAGAAACAAAACTTAAAGCCACATTTGCATAAACTAAGCGTTCAAAAGACAACTCGGTCCTCGTGCGCTGATGCAGTTCAGCTTCTGTCGGACTAAAGGACATGACTCAGTGGAATATGAGTGTTCTTTCTGTGACAGAGGGGTGTTCTGCTGATAGTGAGTTTGTTCTGTGCTTCTATCACGTTGGAGATGGTTCATGTTAAACTTTTCAGAGATTATACGTCTGCAGGTCATACGCAGGCATAGACTGTATATATGAATGGACATATATTCTAGCCTTTTAGCGTTTTGGCGTTGAATTACTTCACGGCGCATAGACCTACATCAGTGTATCAGTGTTTTCAGGCGTACTGTACTCAAATGAATTTGTGGGAGCTGGCGGCACCAGATCGTTCTGTCTCTGGAGCCGTTGTCAATCGGATTAGTGTGGACGAACACTGCATCCACAACAAAAACGACTCAAATACGTACTAGTGTGGACGGGGCCCAAGTCTCAGTTCTTTGGATTAAGTCTTGTCAAGGCATTTTAGAAGGAAAAAGTTGCATATTAGCCTCTACAAAATATCACAATAATTATCGTACTGTGAGATGTATTTTTAGATTGTTACATCCCTAATCGTGAGCCTCCCCACCATACCGTGAGCTTTCCCATGATATCGCAATAAATATTGTACTGTGAGATTCATACCGTGATGATATCGTATCGTGAAACTTGGACATTGTTACACCCCTATGTAGTACCTTATCTGAAATAAGGCTGCAAGTTTTATCGCAATCAAACTGAAATTGCAACTTGAGTGGATGCAATTCTCAAATGTAAATACAAAAAATTCCTCCACAAACAACAAAATATCCTGTCTTATTCTATATAAAAACTGCTTAGCTTGTAGTTTAGATCTGTGCAAATATTTGTGATCATGTGTGCTTCTTTTATTAGTTTTTTAGTTCTTAAGCCTATCTGAGCCTTTTTGTCATTTCTTCTGTTAGTGTTTAATATGTCAACTTTGAACAGAATTCTATTATTAAAACATAAATCACAAGTCTAGTTTCAATTTCAGTGCTTGTCAGAAAATTCGCAAATAGATATGTTTCCCAAATCGCGCGCTAGTCTGAAATATAACTTTAATATGAGTACAATACACAAACAATATTTTAATGTTTTCAGTGGGTGTGTGCAATTAACAGACTTGCAATATATTTAACGACTTCACATTTCGAAAGCAAAGTCAATTGCTTCAAAGCACATCAGTTTCAGATGGATAAATGTAATGCTTGTTTTCTCAAATTGGTTAAAAGTCCAAGACAATACTAAAGAGAACTTGGAAAAACGACTTTTCAGAGCTTTTACCCTCTCGAAGTTGTATTTAAAGCAATTTGTGCAATCTTTATTTTCAAGACGCCATATTGCCAATCAACCAGTTTTTACTTACCGTCTTCATTCTTCAATTTTATTTTCTTTATTGTTCCTTTTATTACGCCATTTTAGACGAATATAGCGATACAAATATGCAAATTATACCTGAATGATGCATCGGTGTCATAGATTAAACTATACAGCAGACACAAGCACAATATGTCTTCTTTAAAGCTAGAGGAGGAAAAAAAATATGCAAAGGCACAAGGGGGAGGGACAGATGAGCAGAGTCTAGTACTGTCTCTGTCAGGTTTCCCCGGTAACACACGTCGACTCAGAATGAGAGACAGGAGGAGGACTGAAGAGGGACCAGAGCTGTCACAAGCTACAGGTAATATGTGATAAGGGCTGATGAGAGAAAAGGATGACAAATACTGTAGAGATTGTATGGATCGATGTATTAAATTTGCAGTGAGCTTTTCAGTTTCCAAATCCATCAGACCTGAAACTAAAATAAAGCTTAATGTGATTTGAGGGAGCTGGACCCAAAGCGCCGTTCTTGAGACTAAATGGAAAAATTAAACATGCAGAATTTAAAAGACTAATTAGAAATTTGGATTTGTTTATTTTGGTCCAAAACAGATGGACGGAAAAAAGAAAGCAAGTTTGGGAAAGAATGCATTTGTACCTGCAAAGCCTGAAGGTTGAATAAATATCTGGCTTTGGCAATCTGCTGAAATATTTTGACTGCTTCTTAAATTTGCTCGTAAACAACCAAGCACACAGTTCTTCCAGACAAGCTCAGTGCCCATAAACTTGGAAAGTGTCTAGGCTCAAAGTTCGAGTCATCTACAATCCATGATTACAGGAATAAAATAGAAGGAAGAAGTATTTGTAAGAAAATAACTCTTTAGGAATGGTCTGAGATTTGTCAATACCAACATTATGCTGTTAAAATCCACAGCAAGCTCTTTTTGCTTTTGTGAAAATAATAGCTAAATGTATTTATCTTGAATATAATTTATATTTTCATTAATCTGAAGACAAATATCTACTAAATTTTCAATACTGGACCGATGTAATATCTGGGGAAATCCTCCAATATTGCCAATACTGCAATAACTGACAAACCTAAATCATCCTTAGTGTTCTTTTCATAAACTTTCTTTGAAATTAGGTGAAAAATGGTAGACAGCCTTTTGGTTTGTTGAACACATTGCTATGTAGGGTTGTCAAAAGTATCAAAAAACAGATACTATTCCATACTACATACTAGCATCGAACCTAGATACATAATTGATCAAGTATCGATACTAAAAAGTCTCATTCACCGGACAGAAATGAACCTGAACCTGAACCTGAATCTTGAACTGTATCAGAACAAGTATAAGAGCACATGGACCAATATGGAACCTCCCTGGACCACTGAGGGATTACACAGGTATAAGGCCACATGGTAATATAAAGAAATTACAATTATTTTATGCTGAAAA